AAACCTTCGGGCACTTTCTGGACTCCTGCAGGACTCATTTGGAAATATCGTACCAGCCTAGCCTCCCGGGTTTTTCAAGAAGCTCCCAGATTTCGACCATTTCTTATTTTTGTACAGCTAGCAGGAAAATCTTTTAGAAATATAAATTTCATTGAGTAATCTGGCTGCATTGGAAAATATGCAGCTCTACCTAATCCAGGCTTTTTGTGAAACTGTCGGACTATCGCATTATAATTTTGACGAATTAGAAGGCATTTATGTAAACATACAGTAGAATCTCGGTGATATCAATTTGTAAAATTCTCCAGCTGACTTTCACTGTGTTCAAGGGGCCAAAATTTAAATGTTCTGGATAGATCAGTGCATCGTGCCAAGAGATACGAACTTTGGTACCGAATTCTCGAGCAGATGCCGAGGGCAGCGTGCTGGAAGCTTTGGAAGGACTTGCTTAGCCAACGAAAGCGCGATCTCTCTTGACACGATGCCCCGCCGCGGTACTCGGCTGCTGACGTGCAGGTTGGGGGATCAAATCCTGGCTGCGGCGGCTGCATTTCCGATGGAGGCGGAAATGTTGTAGGCCTGTGTGCTCAGATTTGGGTGCACGTTAAAGAACCCCAGGTTGTCGAAATTTTCAGAGCCCTCCACTATGGCGTCTCTCATAATCATGTGGTGGTTTTGGGACGTTTAACCCCACATGTCAATCAACTCTTGATGCGATTATGTGTGGCGACGAAGCTGACAACTCCAAAAGCGCATGCGCATCCAGTGCTCACCCAGTCAAGGTGATGCTTCTTTCTGCAAATGCTGCAGACAAAACCCTATCACATGCGATAATAGCAAAAAGCAATTTAGTTTTGAAGGCACCTGCATGGCCAGCTCATGTGGATTAAAAAGGTAAATGTCGTTTGCCGCCACTGCAGCAAACAAAACCCCGGTCGCTGCGGCGTAATCATCGAAAGGGAATACTAGCTCCGAAGGTATGCGCATAATGCAGTAGTTGATTGAAGTCACCAAAAATAGGCAGGAAGTGTTTCAGTGTCCTTTTCGCTTGTGTCTACAATGAAGTGTACTTAAGCTCTTAGTTTTCAGTTGGCCTCAAGCAAAGCTGTGATGCGCGCTTTCGTGGCAGCAAGCTGCGCCACCCTCTATTGGCCCGTTCGCGTATGTCCCAGAAAAAAAAAAAAAACGCCAGGCCTGCGCGGTAGGCGCAGCACAGTCACTGCAAAACTAGAAAAGTGGCCTTTCAGAGCCTTTTCAAAACACTCATTGGGTAACTACTGCAAGCACACTTGCTTGGTACTCACAAGGGTATTAATAAAATAAACTTTTGGGTAATAGGCCGGCATTCGCTGTGCTATTTTTCGTCATTCTTCTGAGAAGTGTGGTATCCGCTAAACACTTGCTAGGAATTTTGTGCCAATTGACCCTGCAGTCGCTGAAGATGATGATGAATTATAGCTGAAGTGGGTATGCGCCACGGTTAATAGGGAAACAAGAACAAGCTTTTGTAATGGGTTGGAGCATTTGAAAGCCCACTTGTCACGGTAATCGCATTGTGCGACGACTGGTTGTTCTTTCGCAGTTGTAAAACGCTTTATAAGTCGTAGTAACGCGATTGCTTCCCTGACATCAAGCCTGCCTAAGGCAAGTTTGACTACAAGTCACAAGCACCGAAGTAGCTCAGTGGTAGAATACTGGGCTGGCACCCTGTGGACCCGGGTTTGAGCCCCACTGTGCCATGGGTGCTAGGTTTTTTTTTCAAATTTCGCCTGATGTGGTTACGGACACTGGTGGCGGTGATGGCGAACAACATGCAATTGCACGTGACCCGGGTTGTGATCTCATAACAGCTTTTGCTGTAAAAGCGTACCCAAATTCTCTTGATGAAAAGAAATATTGTGTGCCTGTGTCGCGGTATTGAAAATTATTTTGTGGGCTTCTTTATCACTCAAAGTTTTGGGCGACAAGAATATTTTCTATCACTCTTGACATTCGTACATATCACTGAGATTCTACTATAGTTGGGACACCCTACGTGTGTAGTTTCTAAGTCATTGTAAGACCGCAACGTCAATGTTTACGCTTAAAAGGCTGTTTGGAACTCCCCCCTCTCTAACCTGTCTGTTATGTTTTTTTTTTTTAAGAAAAGGGTGGGTGAGGGAGAAATGAATTCCTCCCCCTTGCCCCATTGCAGAAATGTTCCGAATTCAGAACCCTTGAGTTTGGCAGGTATGCAATTAAAGTACGTATTTCTATTAAACGAGTGATGACATGAAATTTAGAGTTTGAGATGTGGCCTTGGCATAATATCTTGGTATGCATGATCTTTTTGAGCAAAGTATGAATTGCGCTCTATTTGTAGAAGTTATTTTATTTGGAGGGCAAACAGCATCTGAAGACTCAATGTGGCATTGAGCACCCCGCAGCATTGACAGTACTGTGATACGTTCAGCGGATTCACAGCCCATGCCACTGTTTCTCAGTAACAATGCACTAAAGACAACAACATTGAGGATATCATTGCTCATCATTCTGGCGCTGACTGGCGGCAATGCTCGGCAGTGGCACCACTTCAACTGTCTCTATTGTTTTGTTTCAAATCCTGTGTCTTCACTGCGCCACTTCGAATGATTTGCCATGTGTCCCTCAGCATGTTTCAAGCGCCAATGCCAGCAGCATTATGGGCCAGCATGTTATGAAACAGTTGTGTGCGTGAGTTGCACCACTGGCATTTTGCGTACTGCAAGAAGGGATTTTTTTGTTGTCGAGAGCTTTTTCGTTTATTTGTAAAAGCTACCAGCCGGGATTGTGCGTGTAATTTGTGTCTCTCGATGCATCTCCGTGCTGCATTGAACACTAGCCTTACACACCCAGAGACTGCGCTGTACTTGGGAGTGTGATAGGGACATGGGCAAGATGTGCCAGCACAGAAGCCTGTCTGGGGATGTCACGTACAGAGCGTTGGCAGTTGACAGCGATGGTGGTGACAAATACGTGACTATAGTCGAACGTTGATTATGCATCCCCTGGTTTCGCGATGACCCGCATTTTACGACAAATCGGTTTGGTCCCGACGAAGTCCACATTGAGATAATGTATTAAAAGGCTTGGTTATGAGACGCAGTTTTACGCCAACCCCGCACTCATGATGAGTTCCTGATTTTGTCTCAAAGAAAAAGCTACCCTGACTTGAATCGAACGTTGTCCAGATATTCACCAGTACAAAATATGAGCTTGTATTCCTCTAGGTTAACGATTAGAAAAATTGAGAATGATAAGGATGTCTTTTTAAAATGGAAAACTTTTTTTTCTTGCAATCCTTGAGCTTCTTCGTGCACCTCGATCGCGTGAGTACCCAGGGTCGTTACCTATACAAGCTCTATCCACACCGAGTAGCTTCAGCTGGCGGAAAAGCTTATCTCTGAGTTCCTGATATCTTCACATTCTGGGTCCATGGAAACTTGTCCTGGTCAACATACACCTGATCTCCTGCCTTTGTGACAGACTCACTCGCAGGCTTGACCATGCAAAATGGCTCGACGCAGCTTTTTTCACCGTGCAAAATAACTTTCACTTGACGTCAACGTTGATAATAAAAGCGGGACATGACTATAGTTGCATGTCACAAGCCAACAATTCACAACGTGAACAGCTCAGTTACGTATGAAGGCATCTTACCCAAACTCGTGGTTCATGGTCATTTTACTATGACACTGTGTCCGACTTTTTGGCGGGAGGCTGTTGGCAATGCGGTTTTGGGTGCAGGCAATTTTCAGGCTCGATTTACCAGGAAAAAGTATGCGTTGGATTCTATACTGTAAAGGTGGTAAATATTCGCTCTCACCTCCTTCAACTAATTAATGATGTTATTGGCAAGAATAGTTTAATCTACCATCCTGGATAAGTGCAAGGTCGTGCCGTGGGCTTATTGAGGCTGTCTGTACCCAATTTTTAGGGGGAGGGGGTGTAAGGCTGAGCATCAATGCCAATATTCTTAGTTTTTCGGTTATACTATAGTTTTGTATGGTCCCCTGAAAGTCATATAACCAGGGTTTCACACTTCTAGCGGACGAAACCTCAGCTGAAACTGGCATCACCGTTTCCTGTGCGTGATCAGATAAAGCATGACCGTGGCAGGGGACAGCACTGCCAGCACTGCTTTGCGCCCATTTTGAACATTGCTCAATACTGGTAGTCATACTAATCAATATTGCAGACTTTCATTCATTCCTCCACTGCATTATCAGTTCGTCTCTGTTGCACCATCAGTACCTAATCATCACTAGGAGTTGTTAGCCGTACGTGGACGCAGAAAGGACGACATGTGTAAAGTTAATATCACTGTTCTTTCAAAGGGGCCCTGAAGCACTTTTTCAAGTAATCATGGAATGAATTCGCTTAAAGAGCTTATGGCCTGACGAATTCAACACTGCAAAAAATTTTAAGAATTAGTCCAGTGCAAGTTCAGTTTCAAATATTTGTCGCATGCTACACTTGCATTCTCTCTTCTCTCGTCCTGACGAAAGCGCTGGAAGCTAAGGAAAGAGGGGTGGAAGGGGCAAAGAACTTCACACGTGCCTCGTGACCATTGAGCACTCTTTTTTTTTTTTTCTTCAATGCACAGCTTTTTCAGTGCGATGGCCTGCGCATGCATGGACAAGTCACAGCCTCCTGCGGCAATCTCTAACGACCAAGCGCGCTATGTTCAAATCAGCCAATGGCTGATAGTGGGCTTTTTACAAAGGATTTTCGAACGCCTTCCGTGATTTCTTGAGAGAAGACAAAGCAATTCTTTTGCTGACCTTGATAATTTATTGTAAATTCTAATTTGTTGTGAACATTTGGCTCGTGTGTTCCGGGAGCCTCTATTACTGATCGGCAGCGTTATCTGACCAGCTCAAAAAGTGTTGAAGAAACAGCTGCTTAGTGATCCGCTCAGTTCATCATTGTAGTAGGCAATGCTGCTACAATATCTCAAAAGCATACATTTTACTTTGCAGAGGCCCTCCATTCTTGGTAACAAGATTGAGATGGAGATTGCACGGCTGGTGGAGAAGAACCGTACCCTGTTGCGGTTGGGCATCTCGTTTGACGTTCCCGATGCACGGATGAGGGTAACGCAACACCTGCAGAACAACTATGACCGCCGTGAGTGCACAATCCACTTTGCTCTGTGCAATAACGAATGAAGCATAGATGGAACAGTTCATTTAGTAGTTCCATGAAAATTGCCATCCTGCCTTTTTCATATTGTGGCTCTCTTAATCCGTGTCTCTCAGTGTAGAGCTATGTTTCAGTGAGCGCAGCTTCACAAAAAGCACTTTTAATATTTGTCAGTGCTTTTGAGGTACTTTGGATTGTTGAGCACGAATCACAATTGTTTTTTCTCTTGTCGTTATCAATCTGCATTCTTTAGTGATAGTCAAAAAGTTGAGTTGCTAGTTTACGTACCGTCTAGCTCAGAATTCTACCTTAACTCGACTGGAGACACTTTATGTGGACCCCCTCTCTGTACAAGTGACTTGGACAAAGGGCTTTCCCAGTGACTGATTGGAAGCTGCCGTTAGCCCCCATTAATTTGTTGCATTGTTCCTTTTTTTTTTTTTTTCAGTGCGGCTGCGACGCACCGCTTCAGGAGCACAGCTCAACAACAGCACCTGAGCGTCTCGAGATCTTCATGTCTTTCTCGGCTTAAATACGTTTTTTTTATAAGCTTTATACTCTAGAGGCAAGGGCAGAAGAGCTGCTGTCCTATGATGCCGCAGCTGTGGAGTTTCATACAAACACGTGGCCAAGACTGCGGCGCATGCATCAGGGTATGATTAAGTTTGTCGAGGATGACGTTAGGCTACTTCTATGTCAATGTTCCTGCGAGCAACAAGAAGTGCTTGACATACCAAAAAGGTGGTAGCGTTCTCTGTTATGCATAGGAACTGACCCGAGGCGCTCTGTAAATGCATTTGAGGCAACCTTTATTAAGAGCCATCTTCCTACCATTCCCCCCTTTGTTGGCTCTTCTCCCACAAGCCACGGTTCCAGATTTCTCTTTAGGAGTGCTTGTGTGGAACTCCACGGCAGTGTCATCAGATTTTCTGTTTGTAATGATGCAAGCGTGTGTTGACCCTACTGCTTCCACACCTTAATCGTGACACACTGCATACAGCCAAAGTTGAGAAAGCAGAAGGAATGCCACCTCGTCGCAAAACTTAGTAGAAAGGATTGATTTGGTGTTTGCGGCTGGTAAAAAGATGGAAGAGATTTTTTTTTTCTTTTTATGAACTGCTTAAACAAGAATCTTGGTAACTGCTCCTTTGTCCACCAAAAATGCAAGCCAGGAATAAACAGAAGTTATAGTGAAGTCATTTTCCTTAGACCACGTGTTTATAGATGGTTCAATTGGTTACACCGGGCACATGTAATCCTGACAGTGTTTTGTTTTTTAATTTATCAGCTGCACACCATACCTTTCACTGCTCTCGCTTATGGCTATCCATAGAGTTGGCATGCTTGTTGTGTAATCTCTTCATTCAAGGAAAAGCTCTTTCTTCACGGTCCAGCGAGGACATGTTGTTTCTGAAATCACTGAACGGTGACCATATCCTCAGTCAGTACTTTGGGGAAGACTACTTTTATTGTGCTGTCATCAGTTAGCCATGAACTAGCAGATACAGACAACCCAAAAGGAATGGTTTACATGTTCCTTACCTGCCTTCTTTTTGCATGCTGCATTCGACACTAAGTTACACGAAGAACACCTTCCCTAAAAGAGGGTCGGTTAAGAATATGGCCTCTGGGTATAGTAATGCTGGACTTCTTATACTAGTAGTGTGACTTATCTGTGCACTCCACGTTTGTCACCAATAGGAGGTATGATTGAAGTGAAATTATATTCGTAGTATATCGAACCTACCAGCCATCTGCCATGTGCTTTTGAAAGGTTTGACAGGTTGAAAGGTGCATTAAGAGAGTGTAGGAAGTCTCGCGTCACTGTCCAAATTGCTGCTTTGTTGGTGTTTCCTGTCTGCTGTAGAGGTGCTGCTCGAAGTCTCGTGTAGGCTGCACAGAGATAATTGTACATTCTTCACATAAACAATCATTGTCACGCATGTTATTCTCACACAGCGGTGTCTGTGTGTGTATGCTCTTCAATTTTATGTCCACCTTTACGGCAACAAACCGGTGTTCTTTTTGTTAGTGTCTTTTTCTCGCACCTCCAGTTCGTACTAGGAGGCGAGGGCATTGTGTCATCATCATTCTGCTGTCTCACCGAAGCGGTCACGTGCACAGTATGCTGCTGGCATTACCGCAAGCTGCAGTCCCGGCCGTGATGTTTTTTATGCTCTAGCACTGCCCTCAGCACACTCAACGACGTCCCGGTTTACATTACATTATGTGTCATTTAGTTATCAAATTTCTACGCCGCTTTGAGAAGTGCAAGTGAATCTGTGGAAATGTCGGAAGTTGCACCTGAAGCAAATGTGTGCCGCGGGCAGCTTCGTTTGTAAGCTGTTGACGTTTTGTTTGCGTGTGATCGTGGTGTGCTGAGCTACACTGATATTTGTTAGGTGATGCTTCATGATGCCAGAGCATTTAGTGCACGGCCATATTTACTATTGCACTCAGTGTGGGTTGCAAAAAAAAAAAAAATTTGCACCTGCCTCTTCGACTAGAAGAGAAAATTACAGGTGTCATTTCTGTTACATGTGAGGTCGTCCTAGCGATTGGAACAGCACTTAGTTAACAAATGTTTCGTGTACAAGCCCTGTCATGCAGTCTCAAAGTCTTGCAGCGGCGGCTCCCCTTTTCCAATTCATATTGAGTACAGTAGCACACTGCTGCAACTTGCTGCTCGGTGTTAAAATGGGCCCTCATTTTTCGAGTCTAGGGAATCTTTTGTGAACCTAGGTGCTCAAAGGTTTAGTGTGTTACATATGTTCGCAGTTCTGCCAGTGAAGCACAGTTTCATTTCATGTGTTCATCTTATAATTAAGTAAGCTGTATATAAATGCAAAGTCCCTCTCCGTTAAGATTTCAAGTTTTTTTTGTTATTTTTATGTCGCAAGAGACAGGATAGTTCGTATGCATTTCAACAACTCGGAGTCTCGTTACCTGAGCAGGAATGTCACGTGCGAAGTCGTTAATGAAGTGGCACTTTATTGGCCACCATGGCTGCAGTTGCATCATGGAATCGATGTAGTGATCGCGGCAAAGTAGTGAGAACTGCAAGTGACATGGTGTAGGTTGCCGGCCCTCCATTCACATGAGCCTCCTGTTGACACTGGCAAGACAGTAATACTTTTGTAACGCCAGACCGAGCCTTGCCTGTGATTGGAGTTCTACAATAGTGGTATTAAGTCACACGTGCCACTTCAGCTCGGCGCTCGTGATCCCCAAGCTGTTACAGTGCAAATGGGCTCTCCCATCAGACATAGTGCTGGAATTTTTGTGCCCTTCATTTGTGACGTGCAGGGTCAGATATAGTGAAGGAAAAAAAGCTTACACAAATGTCTGTGCCAGCCACCTCAGATGTGGTGCTTTGCTTGGACGGAACAGCATTACCTCTTCACTGCGCATGATATATTCAGTGCACACAGCCATGATTTTGAGCTTATGGAGCTGTTTGTGTAAACCTTGAGTAATAAAATTCATACATACATGTGTCCTATTCTCTTTTGGACTGTGTCATGCATTACTAGAGCAACATTTATGCGGCCATTTTATCTTCTCCGTTGACTGGCTTGAGTTCTCATGAAGAACATGGATAGTAGCAAGTGCAGCAAAGCTATGAAGATATATTGTTTCGATAACAATCCCTTTAAAGCATCAATACCTAGCAATCTGTGCAAACAATAATTAAGTGAGCCTAAAAATGTGCAGCCCTTTGTAATCTGAGAACTGAATCACTTCAGTGTAAATACGGTGAACTCTATGTAAACCGAAATCTGTTTTTTAACAGAACTGCTGCTTAAATGGAACTTCGTGACAATATGATTGGTTTGTACCAAAATGCTGCAACCCTGTTTGTCTCAGTAAACGAAAACTCCTGTTAAACAGAACATATTTGCCTGGTCCCTTCAGGTTCCGTTTTACGAGAGCCCACTGTAATATATTTGTCATGGCTAGTATGCAGCTAGAGTTAAATGTAAATGTAATTGGACTGGAATGAGATAAGTTTTTTGTAATACATAAAAGGTAAAGTTGTGATGAAGTGTTCTGCAAGCAAAACTCCAGTTTATATTTAACAGTGTTCTGGTGAGGTGTTCAAAATTCCTGGAATAAGCAAAACTTACTCCCTCAGCAGGACAGTGTTTCTTCTTCCTGCTGAAACCTACAGCGATCTGCAGTAACTTGCGTAAGTAACAAGGGTTAAGACAAGGGTAAGTACATTGGGTAACAAGGGTAACGTGTTTGCGGAATCACTCGACAATGTAGGATTATATATATGAAAGAAACTTGCTTATCTGCAGTCTCTAGTTCGTGCTGTGTTGTCGAACTTTTAATGTCCGCACTAACTTTAGCTGTCGGATTTGTAGAGACACGACGCGGTTGTCTCGAGCAGTTGCGTTTACCACAACTGCATGCTTGTTTTGTTTCTGTTGAAATGGACTCAAGAAGGCCATAGATAATGTGACGCTACATTTGTAACGGCGAGCCATGGGGTTGGCTGCGGCATTCGAAACGTAACACTGGTGAGCTGGTTTTTTCAGGGCAGTTGAAGGAGAATTTTCAAGCCCTGGTTGGCTAAACATTTCCATTGTATAGAGCAAGATTCTTTCAGCTTTTTAACAAATTTTGGCAATGTGTAGTACTACCAAGTGCAATCCTGACGCTGGCGTCCTCCTCGCACTCTTTCTTTTTTCTCTTTCGTGCGATGTGGGACCAGCAATTCTAAATACGCGGCCCTGCCATGCGCTCTTTCCAGGAAGGTTTTAAAAATTGCTGGAGTGAAGCCGTACCCACCGTAAGATGGCGGCTGCAGCAGTTATATATCTCAGTAAGGGCATGATGAGCTCTTGGCGTTCGGTGATTCAGTAGGAGCGTTTTCCTAGCACGCAGCGAGTTTAACGTGTCAAACTTTTCGTGTCAGATGGTGCTCAATGTGCTTCTCTCTATATCTAGTTGTATTTAGTAAGCCTCGAATTCCAGGCAAATTGTACTGGGTAATAAGTGACCTATACATGACTCTGTGGGTTATTTCGTCGGAAACAACTATCTATTGATTTACAAATAATGTAGCCTTTAGGCTAACAGATCAAAGCCACTTAATGCCTCAATGCTCACCACCAGAAAATAGCATGTTTCTGATATCATTGGAGGGCAAACGCTGGCTTCACTACCGCTGGTAAAGCATTGCGGGAGCTTCCACTTCAGCATTTCTTTTTTAACCTTTGGTTCTTTCCTAGCCAAATGTTCCTCTGATGCGGTTGCTTCACCTCCATAAACGCTCAAAAGCAGTAAAAAAAAAACGGGGGCCCCTTAAGCATCACCTTCAAAAGTTGAACGCGATAGAGTTACCCGGTCCGTAGCACGCGCTTCAAACACACATTGCATGAAGTATTTTCGAACTTGCGATGCACCCCCACGCGGCCATAAACGAATAGGAGCGGGTGACTGGATTGAAACCATGAAACATTTATGATAATCACATTCTGCTGGGGGGAACAGCGCAAAAATAAACGGGGCGGAGAAAGATAGAACACACGACACAAGCGCTTGTGTCGTGTGTTCCATCTTTCTCTGTCCCATTTTTTCGCGCTGTTCCCCCCAGTATGTCGCGGGATCAAATCCCGGCTGTGGCGGCTGCATTTCCGATGGAGGCGGAAATGTTGTAGGCCCGTGTACTCAGATTTGGGTGCACGTTAAAGAACCCCAGGTGGTCAAAATTTCCGGAGCTCTCCACTACGGCGTCTCTCATAATCAAATAGTGGTTTTGGGACGTTAAACCCCACAAATCAATCAATGACCCCCCCCCCCCACCCCGTATCATGTACCAATAGGCCCTTCAAGAAACTCTTCTGCGATAATCACATGTTCTGATGCCCAATGACAACGTGCGCTTGTACCACGCATTATTATTGCAATATATTTCATAATTCATTGTGAGACAAATATACAGGACACGCCTGTTTGTAAAACATGAAAGTTAATTTCGCTGCATTTTCTAACAGGGGTTATTTTCACACCGTTCGACAGCAGACGCATGGCTTCGTGGTAGAGCACCCGCTGGCCACGCAAGCGAGTCGGGTTCGATCTCAACTCCAACCCAGAATTTTTTATTTGTTTTATTATGATTTTGCCGATTTGTGGTGATCATATTAGATGATAATATTTTACTTACAACCGACGACGCCGTCACCAGACTTTCTGCGAAACGAGCTATTTAACGCTACCACGTTGAAAGTTTAGGCTCTCATGGGCCTTCTGTGTGCTCCTTCAGAGTTAGAAGCTGCTCGGTACGTTGGCTTCACCGCAATTGTGGCCAAAAGCGGTCGAAAAAGTTTCCTCCTTACCACCCACGATTAGCCTCAACTTTTGTCTGACGTCAAACATTGCAGTGATAGGTCTGCTATGTGCGCTATCAAAGTTAAAAGTTCCCCTGGTTGGTGGGCTTCGCCGCAATTGGGGCCAGAAACGGCCAAAAAAATTTAGGCCCTTATCACTCACGATAAGACTGAAATTTTGTCTGACGTCACACCTTGCAGCGATGGGAATTCTATGTGCTATTTCACGGTTTAAAGTTCTCCTGGTAAGTTCGCCTCACCACAATGTTGGCCAAGAAACGATCCAAAAAGTTTAGGCCCTTATCACCCATGATAAGACTCAAATTTTGTCTGACGTCACGCCTTGAAGCGATAGGCCTCCTATGTTCTCTTTGAGAGTTGAAACTTCCCCTGGTAGATTGGCTTCAGGGCATTCGTGGCCAAAAACGGTCGAAAAAGTTTCTGCCCTTATCACCCACGATAAGACTCAACTTTTGCCTGACGTCACGACTTGCATCGATAGACATTTTATGTGCCCTATCATAGTTGAAAGTTTTTTCCCTGGTGCGTTGGCTTCACCGCAGTTGTGGCCGAAAACAGTCAAAAAAGTTTAGGCCCTTATCCCCCACGATAAAACTCTACTTTCGTCTGACGTCACGCGTTGCAGCGATGGGCCTTTTATGTGCTTTTACGAGCGTGTTGCGACTGGCCGGCTGAAAGGCTCCCAGAGTCAGTACCCGGAGCAAGACTACCTGGATGGTGACACGCAACTGGCTTGCAGTGTAAGCGTGGAACGCGTTTCGGGTTGTGCAGTGCTCTCGCCCTCTTGCTGGCCTTGTCGCGAACCTAGGCGAAACCTCATTGTGGACAGTTCTTCTTAATATTATGCGTACCATCTTAGGGGAGGCTAGTAAGCTTCACTCTAGAGCTCAGACCCGGACTTGGGTTTCAAAATCAGTTTTTTTCTCTCTCTCTAAAAAAGACACTAGATGCATCCGTCGGAGACCCTGGACGCTGGACGCGCCTCAACGGTGGTGATGCACCCTCCTCCTCGAGCGTCTCGGCGCCCATAAAGAGTTGGCGCATCTGGAGTCGGCTGCTTCCTCGTCCACGTTTTGTACATAGGTTGTAAATATAAACGTTTTGTTTCCTCTGATGCCTTTTGCCTTACCACAGCACAGACGCTCCCTGCCCAGCGTCGGCCCTCGCGACACGCTACCCAAGAGACCGGTGGGGCCTCCGCGTAAGAGTGCTCTTTCAGAGTTAAATGTTCCCCTCATAGGTTGACTTCACCGCGATTGTGGCCGAAAATGGTCGAAAAAGTTTAAGCCCTTATCAGCAATGATAAGAATTACTTTTGTCTGACGTCACACCTTGCAGCGATGGGCATTCTATGTGTTCTTTTACGGTTTAAAGTTCTCCTGGTGGGTTCGCTTCACTGCAATTGTGGCCTAAACGATCGAAAAAGTTTAGGCCCTTATCACCCACGATAAGACTCAAATTTTGTCTGACGTCACGCCTTGCAGCGATAGGACTTCTATGTTCTCTTTGAGAGTTAACAGTTCCCCTGGTAGGTTGGCTTCAGGGCATTCATGGCCAGAAACAGTAGAAAAAGTTTAGGCTCTTATAACCCACGATAAGACTCAACTTTTGTTTGACATCATGCCTTGCAGTGATGGGCCTTCTATGTGATCTTTCAAAGCTAAAGGTTCCCCTGATAGGTGGCCTTCACCGCAAGCATGACCAAAAACAGTCGAAATAGTTTAGGCCCTTATCACCCAGGATAAGACTCAACAGTTGTGTGACGTCTTACCTTGCAGTTATGGGCCTTTTATGCGCTATTTTAAACTAAAAGTTCCCCTGGTGCGTTGGCTTCACTGCAATAGTGGCTAGAAACAGCGGAAAAGGTTGAGGCGCTTATCACCACCGATAAGGCTCGACATTTGTCTGACGTCACGCTTTGTCTAAACGTCACGCCTACAAACGAACAAAAAAAGATGTCATTCGAACTTAGACCCGCACGCTCCTAGGACCGTTGCCTAAACCATTGAGCTAATCAGCAAAGCTTGCTTGGGTCGAATGGATCTGAACCATATGAATGCGTCCTACCGACGAAGAAAAAAAAAGGGGGGTATGTCAGCGCAGAAGTGGCATTCGAACCTAGTCCTTCACGCTCCGAAGACCGTTGCCTAAACCACTGAGCTAAACACCAAAGCTTGCTT